TTTCTACCCAAGTCTCCAGGTTACATTAATACATTGTTTCTTTCCTCTTGACACCTCTCATGTTTTACATCCCAGTTAATTCTTCTATGAATCGTATGTCGTGATCATGTCCTTTTTATATAATTTTTTCTTGCTAATTGAGGTCAAGCTTCTTCAGTCTTTCTTTAAACGCTAACCCACTCAGTTCTTGAACTAATTTTATTGCAAGCCCCTATTTTCTACTGGTTATTTTTCTCTTCCTTAATCTTCAAAGCATGTCAAACAATGACATCTTCCATCATGTCTTTGTACATCATGTCTCTCAGCTCGTTATTCCATGTTATTATTCCGAGGAATTTTGTTAATAGTGTATATTTCTCTTCCCCTGTGCGGTAGTCTCTCTTCACTTACTCGACCTTATGTTTTGTTTCTTTCCTGAACTAAATACCAGCGCACAATGATCGCTGGTTCCAAATAGTTCTCCATAGACCATTGCCCATCTCATTGTGTGTGAACTTAATGTTCATCAAGCTGTGTCAGTCAATCCATTCACCAGGTCAAGTCTTTACGAGTCACCCTCCGCCCCTCACAAGTAACTAGGTAACCTGTTCCCCTCTGAAGACCTCGTGTCTTTTGTATTCCTTGCCACAAAGTGACCAGGAATACACTCCGTGACTTCTGTTAGATTAAACCTTCCCGCCTCGAGGCTTCTTGACGGGTCTGTCAACTCCCAGTCTATTTCACCTTGATCAAAACGTCATGTGAGCTTAGTGTGTGTGTTTGTGTGTGTGTGTGTGTGTGTGTGTGTGTGTGTGTGTGTGTGTGTGTGTGTGTGTGTGTGTGTGTGTGTGTGTGTGTGTGTGTGTATACTCACATAGTTGCTTGCTCTTTAGTAGCAGTATATATTTGTACTTGGTGTTATTGTTGTATGGTGTGAATTTAAATGTATGTTTATGAGTATGTTTTTGCATGTATGTCTGTGTTTTCGAACATATGTCCGGTGCATGTCTGATACTCTTGCGTTGTAGCCATGAAAATGTAGGCATTTTCGGGGCCACATTTTTAGGACTCAGGCTCAGTCCATTTAAAAACTCGATTACCGTGCATGTAATAATTAAAGCCACCATCCCATCCACTTACCACCCTCTGTGTATAACCTGAAACAGAACATCATCTTCTACATACCCAACTCCTCCCCAATTCCGAACAGAACATCTCCCCAATTCCGAACAGAACATCGTCTTTAAACAGACCCAACTACCCTAGTTTCGAACAGAGCACCGTCTTTGACATCCCAGCTTCTCCACTCCAACACGTCTAAATTCTTCTATTAGCCCAAGGTATTAGGGATTGTAACTATAATTAAATAATGATGACCAAAACCACACATGAGAAAATTGATAAACATCGTCCTTTCGGTCCGTCCTGGACCATTATCAAGTCCTAATTATATAATCTTGCAAGACAAAATGCAGAGTAAACAACTTTAAATCCACTTAGTGATCACAGTAAACACGGCATGCACTAAACATCGGTATATCAGAAGAATATATATATAGTTATCGCTCGGAATAGTAAAACGTTTTGCATGAAATTGGCGTTATTATTGTTACCAAGCGCAAATACCTTTAATCAGACTGTATATATAATATTTCTCAGTTATAGCCAACTTTTTTTATTGAAAACACAACTAAACTGACCGAAAATATATTGAAGGTCATATTCGTCTTTGTCTATGATTAATACCTTTTATCTGACGGCAAATAAACTGTTATATCAGAAGCACTTTTGCAGCACTTTTTGCAGAACTTATCTTGCAGCTGGTATTGAAAGGTCAAGCCCGGGTACCTGGGATAAAACAACTACAACCACCCTCACAAAGACCTTGCAAATTTAAACAGTAGTTTTATAGTTGTGATTTTTTTGTATTTTTTATTTTTTTTTTTGGAATGTTGTGTGCTGGAATTTCTGTGTTCTGATGCTGCTTCTGCTGCTGATAGGTTATTGGTTTTAAGTCAACTTTGTGTTTTGGAGTTATTGTATTTGATCTTGTGTATTGGATATCTGACGATTTTGTATCGTGGGTCTGACTTCAGTTGCCCCCGCCAGCTCTGCTGCTGTGAAGAACTTTCGAATTTATGTCAATGAAATATCAAAAAATAGTAGGATATTAAATATTTAAATTTTGTTGGTTCATTGGTTGATATGACAAGGAGGGCAAGACTACTGGCAAGCATTCTCACCATAATGGTTGATTTATATATATTACAGGAAGACTAGAAGCAACCACTTTCAGTCTTTTTATTGAATTATATAGGAAAGACAATGACCAGCTATTTTCCTCAAACAAAAACAAAAACATTCTGTCTTCTCTTTTATATGTTTCTACTTTTCATCACTTGAGGATCGTGTTTAATAAGACATGTTTACCTTAAATTTGCTGGCATTGTCTGTGCTAGAAATGTGTATCTTAGAGTATAATAGAAAACTGAAGAACAAATGAGAAAGACCACGTTGTTTGGTACAGACAAAACAATGAATTTTTGTTTTGGTTTAAAGTACTGAGAAGTGGAATCCTGTTTGGTTCCCTCCAAATCCAACGACTTAATTCCCCAAGATTCAATCTACAACAGCTGACTAAATTCCACGTACCTATTTACTAATGGGAGAACAGGCTTGAGGCAACGTTCTTCAGTGCCTCGTCGTGCCCAGAGATTAAACAAAGTACCATTTGGCCGTGAGACAAGAAAACCTGGACTAATAATCATTAACGTATGGTTAGGAGACCTCGTTTAATTTGGTAAAGATTTTCACACTAATGGCAATTCAAGACAAAATAATTGTTACTGAACTTTTCTAGCATTTCCCCTTCACTGGTTGGGACGAACCGTTCAGATAATTTTCATGGTAATAGTTTTATTTTCTAGCTAATTTGCATCATTGGCATTCGTTTAGTTTGTTGATGAGTTCGAACTTGATGGTTATCATCAGAGTGCTGATTGTGTTGCTGCTAAGCTTTTGTTGCAACCAACGCTGTTGCTGCCATTGTATGGCAATAACTGCTGCTGCTACTGTTGCTGGTGTTGAATGTATCCATCTGGTCTTGAAACTTCTGCTACTTCTGTGTGGCTTAAACTGTTGCGGCTGCTTCTGAAGCTGCCGTTGTATGGGCAAAAACTGGTGCTGCTGCTATTGTTGCTGTCATTGTATAGATGTAACTGTTGCTGCTACTATTGATGAGGCTGTATAGGTTTAGCTGCTGATTCTACTGTTGGTGCCTTTGAATGGGTATAGTTGGTGCTGCTGCAGCTTGTATTACCGTTATTTTGTCTAATATGACCGTTGTTTTAAATGCTACCAGCCGAAAATTTTGTGCTGCTGCTGCTTTTGTTACTGTTGTCACTGCTCTTCTTTATACAGATAATTATGTAGTTAATAATGCTAGAACTGCTGTTGCTGCGACTGCTAATACTACCACTACTTATTTTAACATTACCATTCCTTCTGCTACTGCTACTTCAACTACTATCATCACTACTACCAATACTACTACTGCTGCTGCTGGTGTTGCTCATTTACTGCTGACATATTCACGACAAGATTGACGCATTGCGACCATAGCTAATTAAAGGCTCAATGTCTATTATGACATTATTCGTGCAACGTAGGTCAGCCCTCTGTTGCAACAGGCTAATATTAGGTTGCATTATCATTGCTGCTTTTGTTATGCGTTATGAGAAGAATGTCTATTTTCCATGTGACATATTAAAGAGACCCGAACAATGAGTTCTCTTGCATGTGCTTCAAGTTCTTTATTGAGAGTTTGGTGCAATGTGTAAATATATACTGTGTGTGTCCTGTAATAAAATTTATGTTTAGAAATCTTGTGAATTGTTCAAATATTTATATATATTATTGGATGATAAAATCGGCTTAATAGGATATGATGCATACATATACAGTATATTATATATATATATATATATATATATATATATATATATATATATATATATATATATATATATATATGTGTGTGTGTGTGAGAGAGAAGGGTAGGGAGGAGACGTGAACTGGAAGGAATTGTGGGATTAAACACAATGAACGCTTGGAAAAAATAACTTATGTAAAGCAAATTTTTCATTGTAGAGATAAAACTCCATCATTACGTTGATTTTATCACCCAAGGAGGCCTCTTAAACTTGATCTGGACTTTCTTGGATTTTCTCTATTAATCTCATGTCTCTGAGAACTTTTACATGACAAACCTCATATAAATTGTAGTTACGATATGAATGAGACGGTTTAGAGGAGAGATGGGAACAAATAAAATCCTTATCTAATAAAGGAAGTTCTAGGGTCAGGCTTAAGATGAGATGTTGTAGGATACAATTCTCAGTTTGCAGGTTCATTAGGAACATTAGTTTTATGCCAAAGGAACTTTTCTGTTAGTTTATAAGAGAGAGAGAGAGAGAGAGAGAGAGAGAGAGAGAGAGAGAGAGAGAGAGAGAGAGAGAGAGAGAGAGAGAGAGAGAGAGAGAGAGAGAGAGAGAGAGAGAGAGAGAGAGAGAGAGAGAGAGAGAGAGAAAGAGAGGGGGTAGAGAGATAGAGACAGAGACAGAGAGAAAGGGTGAGAGAAAGCGATTATGGACAAAGAGATATAGATACAAATATTGAAAATATGGATATAAATGCAGATAATGTAATTCAGACGTAAATAAAAACGTTGACAGGAAAATACCTGAAAGTCCAGATATTTAACTTTAATTTATTTTAGTTTAAGAGAGCCTTTTCATTTGCTGACAGACCCTGTTTTCTCCCTCTCTCTCCCCCTCTCTCTCTCTCTCTTTCGTCTCCTTCTGTATATACCCTCCTTCTATTTTCTTTATTCTTTACAACACCAATCGCTTCATTCTTCACTAGTCTCCCTCTCTGTCACTCCCTTCCTCCATCCAGCTGCCCCCCTACTCCCTCCCTCAACCCACCGAGGCGTGACCCCTCCACTTATGTTACTACGATAGCTCCTGCCGCAGGTGTCCTGGGTGCGACGGAGGGACTGGCATATCCTCACCTCCGGCACTCTCACCTACACCAAGGAGGAGAGGTTCACAGTCCACCACCCAGAGGGCAGCACTGAGTGGACGCTCGCGATCAAGTACGTCGAATTGGCTGATGCGGGGACCTACGAGTGTCAGGTAAGTGTGGGTGTGTGTGTGTGGGTGTGGGTGGGTGTGGGGGGAGGTGTGGGTGTGGGTGGGTGTGGGGGGAGGTGTGGGTGTGGGTGGGTGTGGGGGGAGGTGTGGGTGTGTGTGTGTGTGTGTGTGTGTGTGTGTGTGTGTGTGTGTGTGTGTGTGTGTGTGTGTTGTGTGTGTGTGTGTGTGTGTGTGTGTGTGTGTGTGTGTGTGTGTGGGTGTGTGGGTGTGTGGGTGTGTGTGTGTTTGAGTATGTACTCACCTAATTGTACTCACCTAATTGTGCTTGCGGGGGTTGAGCTCTGGCTCTTTGGTCCCGCCTCTCAACCGTCAATCAACTGGTGTACAGATTCCTGAGCCTATTGGGCTCTATCATATCTACATTTGAAACTGTGTATGGAGTCAGCCTCCACCACATCACTTCCTAATGCATTCCATTTACTAACTACTCTGACACTGAAAAAGTTCTTTCTAACGTCTCTGTGGCTCATTTGGGTACTCAGCTTCCACCTGTGTCCCCTTGTTCGCGTCCCACCAGTGTTGAATAGTTCATCCTTGTTTACCCGGTCGATTCCCCTGAGGATTTTGTAGGTTGTGATCATGTCCCCCCTTACTCTTCTGTCTTCCAGTGTCGTGAGGTGCATTTCCCGCAGCCTTTCCTCATAACTCATGCCTCTTAGTTCTGGGACTAGTCTAGTAGCATACCTTTGGACTTTTTCCAGCTTCGTCTTGTGCTTGACAAGGTACGGGCTCCATGCTGGGGCCGCATACTCCAGGATTGGTCTTACATATGTGGTGTACAAGATTCTGAATGATTCCTTACACAGGTTCCTGAACGCCGTTCTGATGTTAGCCAGCCTCGCATATGCCGCAGACGTTATTCTCTTTATGTGGGCTTCAGGAGACAGGTTTGGTGTGATATCAACTCCTAGATCTTTCTCTCTGTCTGTTTCATTAAGTACTTCATCTCCTATGCTGTATCCTGTGCCTGGCCTCCTGTTTCCACTTCCTAGTTTCATTACTTTGCATTTACTCGGGTTGAACTTCAACAGCCATTTGTTGGACCATTCACTCAGTCTATCCAGGTCATCTTGTAGCCTCCTACTATCATCCTCTGTTTCAATCCTCCTCATAATTTTTGCATCGTCGGCAAACATTGAGAGGAACGATTCTATACCCTCTGGGAGATCATTTACATATACCAGAAACAGTATAGGTCCAAGGACTGACCCCTGCGGGACTCCACTTGTGACGTCTCGCCAATCTGAGACCTCACCCCTCACACAGACTCGTTGTCTCCTGTTGCTTAGGTATTCCTCTATCCACCGGAGTACCTTCCCTCTCACTCCAGTGTGTGTGTGTGTGTGTGTGTGTGTGTTCACCTAGTTTTCTTGCGGGGGTTGAGCTTTGCTCTTTCGGCCCGCCTCTCAATTGTCAATCAGTAATTAACTACTAGCTATTTTTTCCACACACACACACACACACACACACACACACACACACACACACACACACACACACACACACACACACACACACACACACACACACACACACACACACACACACACACACACACACACACACACACACACACACACACACACACACACATCCAGGAAGCAGCTCCGTAACAGCTTTCTAACTCCCAGGTACCTATTTACTGCTAGGTAACCGGGGCATCAGGGTTAAAGAAACTTTGCCAATTTGTTTCTGCCTGGTCCGGGAATCGAACCCGGGCCACAGAATTACGAGTCCTGCGCGCTGTGCAGACCCCCAGATCCACACACTGTGAGAGAGAGAGAGAGAGAGAGAGAGAGAGAGAGAGAGAGAGAGAGAGAGAGAGAGAGAGAGAGAGAGAGAGAGAGAGAGAGAGAGAGAGAGAGAGAAATTGTGTGTATGTATGAATGTGTTAAATACCATTTAAAAGGTATTACTTACTTAAAAGGGTTACTTAGTGAACAAATATATAATATATCGATTTGACCTTTGTGTAGTATTTAGAAGAATGCATCTATTTTTACACCTGCATTTACGAGTTTTCATCAATTTTTACACCTGCATTTACGAATATGTACCTATTTTGACACTTGTACTTGGCAACATGCACTTATTTTTAGCTATGCATACACGAAGCTTCTTATTCTAGACCTTTATTTACACTTTGTTACTGAGCAAATCTTTCACTTGGATCAGTAAGCCGAAGTAACGAAGCGCCTGAGCTTAGCTTCCACGTCTGACAAATCCCAGGAATTCCATTCATGGCCGGACTCTCCCATCTGGCAATCAGCTGGACCAGTATTTCCAGCTGAAGCTTAGTGTTAATTGGGCAGTGGGCAGGTGGATGTCTCAGCATGCTTAGTTGTTGGTGGAGGGTGGTGATGGATGTTGTGGTTGGGTGGGGGGGGGGGGGTGGTGGTGCTCTTAGTGGTGGTGATGTGGTTGGGATGAGTACTGTTTTTAAGGTAGTGATGCTATTGGTATGATGGTGTAGGTGGTAGTGTAGATGATGTTGGTGGTAGTGTTGGTGGTGTAGTTGGTTTTGGTGGTGTAGGTGGTGTTAGTGGGGGTGAAGGTGATGTTGGTGGTGGTGTAGATGGTGTCCATCGTGGTGAAGGTGGTGGTGATTTTAGTAATTGTGTTTACCTAACGGAGCTTATCTATAACTGACCACAGAGAAGAAATGTATAGCTCTCAGTGGCCCGCCTACTAGCTATGTTGGTTGTATCTCATAATTCTAGCTTTAGGCCGGCGAAATTCTTGATCGAATCTGACCATTATTTTGTGAATCGCTGTTGCTTGCAGATTTTTTTCAGTGCATTCCAAGTTTTAATTATCCGAACAAGCTATGACTTTTTCCTTACATTTATTTTACTTCTTAACGGTTGCAGACTTCACCTGTGTCCTCCTTTCCTACCTTCCTTTTAAAATTATTTCATTTATTAAATGAAATAATTTAAAAAAATTAAGACAGGCAACTTAGTATCAAAATAATTATATGAAATTTATGCTAAAATATCTAAAGTTTAATATTTAATAATGCAAACTGCTAAACTCAATGGAAAATTACATAGCACAAGATTTTGTAAATTTCACCACACCCATCAGCCAGTTCTGCTCAGACAAAGATCAATTAAAATTAAAAAGTCAATATTTTACACCGTCAACAGAGTCACTTACATATTATTAGCATATAATTATTTTAATCTCGTAAGTGCTCCTTAACAGATATTGCAAAGGATAAATTTTCCATGGAATTCGTTAATGCTTAAGGCAAATATAATAATACAAATATTTATTATATATATATATATATATATATATATATATATATATATATATATATATATATATATATATATATATATATATATATATATATATATATACATATATATATATATATATATATATATATATATATATATATATATATATATATATATATATATATAAATATATATAAATATATTTTTTTTATATATAATATGGAAGGGAGTACCACCTCTAGCTGGAAGAAGGGGGACCCATAGCCTCGGAGGAAACCACGCATACCGCATTAGAGGGAATGTTTAGATCCCCTCCAATACAGTTTCTGTGTGCTTTTCTCCTACCACCCCTTCCTTTTTTATTTTTTGTGCTTTATTATGCATTTGATGGTTACAAGATATACATGGGTTGATACAAAAATAATAATGCAAAAAGGTGATTAAAGGTTATGGATCTCTTGAAAAACACAACAATGGGAAACATTGATGAATGTCACAGACGGGTTCGATCATTGTTGCAAGTCAAACACTTCTTCGAATTCCTCTGAAGTTATATATATATATATATATATATATATATATATATATATATATATATATATATATATATATATATATATCCTCACGTGTGCCCCAAAGAATGAGGTGATTTGGGAAAAATGCTATGCCCAAGATTACTATCCGAGTGCCGGCGGTGGGGTGGTTCAAATAGCCTCGGCTATCACCTCATTTTGTCCGGTCGTGATGGTCAAGTGGATTAAGGCGTCTTGTACATACCAGTTGCGTTGCTCCTGGGAGTATGGGTTCGAGTCACTTCTGGGGTGTGAGTTTTCAGTTGCATATTGTCCTGGGGACCATTCAGGCTTGTTCGCATATATATATATATATATATATATATATATATATATATATATATATATATATATATATATATATATATATATATATATATACATATATATATATATATATATATATATATATATATATATATATATATATATATATATATATATATATATATATATATATATATATATATATATATATATATATATATATATATATATATATATATATATATATATATTAGCTTTGTTCCGATCGGCTCGGAGACCCTCGGTTCGTGGGGAAAATGTGCATTGAAGTTCCTGAAGGAATTGGGGGACAAATTGATCAGCGCTACAAAAGACCAGAGAGCAAAAAGTTTCTTGTTCCAGCGCCTCAGTGTTGCGATTCAGAGGGGAAATGCCTGTTGCGTCTTGGGCACTAGTCCAACTTCAGAGGAATTCGAAGAAGTGTTTGACTTGCAACAATGATCGAACCCGTCTGTGACATTCATCAATGTTTCCCATTGTTGTTTTCTTCAAGAGATCCATAACCTTTAAGCACCTTTTTGCATTATTATTTTTGTATCAACCCATGTATATCTTGTAACCATCAAATGCATAATAAAGCACAAAAAAAAATATATATATGTATATATTTATAGGTACTCAGCAGTGTTCGGATATATCTGTCCTTTTCTTTTCTCTCTCTCTTCCTCTTTTCTTTCCTTAAATTTTGTTTTAAATTAACTGAGAGTAGTGTTCATTAGGAATGATATTGACTTTCCTTGTGAAACAGCAAGGAAAAGATGTTACCCTACATCTTTAGATATACTGATATACAGTATAGATCTTCAGATATATACAGATACAGGCTCCGGCACACCAACCGTGTGCCGGAGCCTTGACATGTTTCCTTTCTCTCTCTCTCTCTCTCTCTCTCTCTATCTCTCTCTCTCTCTACAACAACCTATATCTCAAATAACTTTAATACATCCCATCTCCAGCTTCGTAAAGCACTTGGAAAAAATAGAAGGATAAAACTTCCCCTTCAAACCAAGGGCTTCGAAGTTCACGATGAGTCTTTAAGAGTTAAGTTTTTGCCCAAGATGAAGCAAGTTACGGGTTTGCTGAGTTCGTGGATGGTTCAGGACTGGGGGATAGGGAGGGAACCCCTCTTACCAGACGGCTTCTTCATCATGAATAGCAAGGATGAAATGAGGTCGGTCTCAATCCCTTCCTCTCTCTCTCTCTCTCTCTCTCTCTCTCTCTCTCTCTCTCTCTCTCTCTCTCTCTCTCTCTCTCTCTCTCTTTCTCACTTTTCCCCTAACTCCTTTCTTTCAATGTTGACCTAACTCTCGTACATTGTTTATAGGTACGTCCCTTTCCCTTTCCATGGAGCTGGATTAGCGTCGTGGAGCTCTGACAATTTACACAGGCAGAATAGGATGATGTTTGAGCAGAGAGAGAGAGAGAGCTATGGAGGACAGAAGGGGGAGGGACACGGCAAGACAGAAAAAGAGATAGAGAGAGAAAGTGTAATGGAGTAGAAGGAAAGTACGAAGAGAATGATGAAGAGAGTGAGAGGAAATTGCAATCAGTGAGAAAGAGATTCTGATAAAGGAAGGGGGAGAAAAACGATGGAAGATAGGAATAGGGATGGAAGGGGGCATTAATGAATAAAAGGGGTGAAAAAGGTCGAGAGAACGGGAGTGCGTGTGGGAGGGAGGCAGAAAAGTTGGGTGAAAATCAGGTACCCAACCAATCAGATAATTTGATAATCACCGAACCTGCAAGTCAGACAGCCACCGAGACAAAGTTTATATCTCTATTCCCTTTCGTTTCAGTTTCCTCTTCCACTCGCTTCTCCTTCTATTCCCCTGCACATATAGTTCCCTTCTATCTTTGATTGTTTTGCTCTAGCTCATCAGCACCTTTCAGGCTTCCCTTCATTCAATCATACTTCCCTGCATCCTTCCTTACTTTCTTTCAACCTTCTCTCTCTCCACCTCACGCTTTCCTCTCCCCCTTTCCTCTGCTTCCTCTCACACGACCAAGTTTATAACGACGGTGGCAACCTTGCATCAAGTCTCCAAGCTGCAGACATTATTGCAGGTAATCCCACAGCGGTTCAAGCTTAATTTATCATGCAGATTAAGGTTTCTTGCCACAGTATTACGGTTTTACCTTCAACCGGGCCTTGTTTTGGACATTATAATCCACACTACATTATATGATGCTAATATTTCGTAACAACGGTGCAGTGTTATCAAGCTCATGGTTATGTTTATGCCTCGGGACAACTATTGAAAAATCGTTAGATAGCACATAGAATGTATTTTGGGGGGCATTTTGGTGTAAATAAATTGTGAGAACTCTGTGATAACACATGAGGGGTGCAAAACAAAAGCATATATATATATATATATATATATATATATATATATATATATATATATATATATATATATATATATAAACATATATATATATATATATATATATAAATATATATATATATATATATATATATATATATATATATATATATATATATATATATATATATATATATATAATGTATAAATTGTACACAAACAAAATTGACGTTTTGTACTTAATTATACCAGATGTTATGACCAAAATCGGACCTAAACCATGCTAGGATACACGAAATCTTAGGATACATTTAGTAAATATATCAGACAACAAAACCTTTCTTGGGTCTAGTGTATGTTTTTCTTGGGCTACTGTTCAAAATTAAAAGTAAGAAATGGTTTGGTTTCTTTGGAGTGCCTATTTCCTCAATTTAAACCACTGTCAATATAGACATTATATGATTTGAATTAGACCGTGATATATTCTCTATCAGCATATATGTTCTGAGTACTGTGATTTATAAACGTCACCCCCTATTTGAATACAAACAAATATTGCGATTAGCTGTTGCTCTCCTAATTGGCTACCCTCACATATATTCTACACCTCACTCATTTGGCATAGGATACCCTTCACCCTATTTTATGCACTTTCCCCAATTGGCAGCACTTAATGAGTTATTCGGTTAAAATATCATAAATGAATTCGAGATAGCATTAAACTATGATAAGATCATTAACAATTATATCATATTTTGATTTAGCATCAAAAGTTGGCAGTAGAACCAAGGGAAGTTGAAAGAAAGAATTGTATGGTAACTCATATTTCCATAGTGATGAAAGTGTATGTGTGTGTAGGATGTGTTGTGGTGCAAGACTAATGTGACCTACTGTACATATATGGTGCTGTGCAAGGCTAGGGTGACACAGAGCTGAGCAAGCCTTGTGTGATGTGGTATATATATGGTGTTGAATATAGTGTGACAGAGTATATACGGTGTTGAGCATACAGTGTGACAGGGAATATGTGGAGTGGAGCATACAGTGTGGCAGGGTATATGTGGAGTTAAACATACAGTGTGACAGGGTATATGTGGAGTGGAACATAGAGTGTGACAGGGTATATGTGGAGTGCAGCATAGAGTGTGACAGGGTATATGTGGAGTGGAGCATAGAGTGTGACAGGGTATATGTGGAGTGGAGCCAGTTTACTGTGAATGGGTATACTTGAGAGAAGTGATTATGCTGAAGAATGTGTTACTAGTATGGATGAGTGTGCAGTAGAGAGAATCACCAAGAATGGAGGAGTGTTGACGAAAGAGTTAAGAATATGGAGCAGTGTAGTGAAGAAGAGGGGCCACTACAGAGAAGCCTGCTTGTGTGAGGTACCACTATAGAGGAGCATACAGAGGAGAGGTCCTAGTGAGCAGCAGGCGTGAAAATAGTGAAGGAGAAAATAGGGGAAGAACAACTAGCTTTCTCGATTTGCTGCTCCATAGAAAAATGGCAATTGTTTTGCCTCACCAGACACAAACGTACATTACAGACCTCTAGTTTTTACAAGACGCATTCTTAGCGGTTTCTCGATTCCGTAAGATATGCGACGTATTATGTGAGAGAACACATTGGGGGAGAGAAGGACGAATCGGTTTCGAGGGTCATGCAGTATGGAGGTTGAGGGGAGACGGACGAGGAAGGGAATACATGAAGAGGGCTTCACCTCGGGCCCTGGTGGACAGCAGGAGACGATGAAACAAGAATCAGGGAACATATATCGGAAAGATCACCATGAATATAGTGGAATGTGGAGCTGTTGAAGGAGGAGAACACGTTACCTGTGGGTGGAAGACCCTCCCACGTTCCCCTGTGAAGGAGGAGGACACGATATTTCATGCAGGCAAGCTCTGGCTCCCAGCTCGACCTTCGCACTGTTGTTATCAAGATACTTAGACACACGAGATTTGTTACAGTGCTCAGGTGTGTGGTGTTCAGGTTCACGCTAACGTGTCGTGCATACAAGTGTTCTTACAAGGGGTCATATCCTTTAATTATCTCCTTTTTTTTAATAATTTCAGTTCAAATTATATTGTCTCATGAACATTAACTTTCGAACTCATACTCACATATATATAAGAACTTTCAAGCATTCCTACTTACATTCACACTGATATTTATAGTCACACTAAAACAACAACACTCACACAAAATAGAAATCCTTAATACACATACGTATACAGTATGCATACATGTATATATATATTTTTTAAACCTAAAAGTGTTTAAATAAATAATATATATATATATATATATATATATATATATATATATATATATATATATATATATATATATATATATATATATATATATATATATATATATATATATATATTACATTCATTCTCTCACCGAAATTCACATAGACACTAATGCTCAAATTTACACTCAACAAATAAAATCTCAACAACAAAAGTTCTCACTCATGCATATGGACGTCACCGCCGGCAGAAACCCTTCTGAAGTACGCTGTGTATTTCACCTCGAACAAGCAAAAATAGCTGAAGAATCATAAGTATCAATCGTAACTAATTATATCACTTTAGTGTTTGCGAGTGCTTCAGTCAATTTTGTTCTTGATTGGTTCTGTATAATTGCTGTTTTCAGTGTGACGCAGAGAAACATCAATATAATAGTTGACTTTGATTTGCAGATAGCATTTAAACTGCAATGCCTTTAGCCAATCTGACAAGATATACAGCGGACAAAGTGCTTATAGAAGGATAAATCGGTGGAGAGAGAGAGACCAATCCACTGACCTAAACTCACTTTCTCTTCACTAATCTAAATTTAGGTGACCTAGATCACTATTTGCATAACTCTTTTGCATCTCCATTAGGTTTGATAAAGCCCTTGCTGCCGAAACGCTAGAAATTGATATACGAGGAAAACGACCAGGCAAACGACTACAAATTTAATAACTCACAGTATTATACAATAGTTTATTATCCTTTATTCAGAGGTATTGAATTATGCTGTATTTGCCCCTTTTAATGTTAGCAAACTCTGCAACATAATGTACAGAAGTAATTTGTGTTCTCTTTTCCTTGGCTCAGATCTCAACGGGAGGCGGGATAGTGTCTCACCTGGTGAGTCTGACGGTGGTGGTACCCAGAGCTGTCATCCCAGGCAACGGAGAGTACCATGTAGAGTCTGGCTCTACCATCTCCCTCGTCTGCTTCATCGAGCAGGTCGGTAACTGGCTCCCCTGCATAAATATTACTCCCAGGTCACCCACTTCTAAAGAATTTCGTAACCACTTTTTCTAATACTACTTCTACCACTATCGAAATTATTACTTCAATTGCCACTACTGGTGCTTCTTCACTACCGTTATTACAACAACTATTAGTAACGATTACTACTACAAGCCTCAGATTACTACCAGGACTTCTACCTACCAATACTTCTGCTAAATTAACTACAACTACTGCTTCTTGTGTTATCTCAACTACTTCATAAATCATGTAACTAATATCAGTATTTATAAGTTCTGATTGTAAGACATAATAAAGAAATTAATTTACGTCGCCATGGAACGCCATAAGTAAGTATGCGACATCTTTAAGTATATTTTAAAATCTCTTTATTATTCACCAAACATTTTCATGTAATTTACCCTTCGGGTTAGGATAATAATGATAATGATAATTATCAAATTTTTAAGTTTTACTTATGTACATTGTCAGATATATATATATATATATATATATATATATATATATATATATATATATATATATATATATATATATATATATATATACATATACATATATATATATATATATATATATATATATATATATATATATATATATCTGTGTGTGTGTGTGTGTGTGTGTGTGTGTGTGTGTGTGTGTGTGTGTGTGTGTGTGTGTGTGTGTGTGTGTGTGTGTGTGTGCAAAGAAGCTTGAATGATCCCCAAGCCAATATGCAACAGAAAACTCCTCACCCCAGAAGGACTCGAACCCAGACAGCCATGGGCTCTGTGCTCCTTAGTGTCTCCAGGACTTTCACCACTAGGCCACAACGACTGTTAAAAGAATTGAAAGTCGTAAAACCCTTGACCCAATTCCCAACAGCACTCGGTGATCTTAATTTGCAGATTAGAGGAAAAATCTCCGGTGTTTCGGAGTTTTCTGTTGCATATTGGCTTGGGGACCATTCACGCTTCTACGCACAAATGTCACTCACATGGCCCCACCATGAGAGATGATTTGATCTGCGCCCAAAAAGGTCACCGAGTGCTGTTGGGGAATTGGGTTCAAGATTTTATGACTTCCAATTATTTTAACAGCACTGTCTCACTGTCTCAAAAGTGCAGTAACGAAGTCAGTAACGGCCCGTTCACCTAATTGTGTGCATATTATAGTTCCTGTACATCCATCGAGGCCTAGAGTAATCCTTTAATGTTGTAGTACATATGTCGCAGTATACACAATATAATCACTGCAGTACACACAAGATAATCACTGCAGTATACACAATATAATCACTGCAGTATACACAAGATAATCTCTGCAGTATACACACTATAATCACTGCAGTATACACAATATAATCACTGCAGTATACACAATATAATCACTGCAGTACACACAATGTAATCACTGCAGTATACACAAGATAATCACTGCAGTACACGCATTATAATAACTGCAGTATACACAATATAATCACTGCAGTATACACAATATAATCACTGCAGTACACACAATGTAATCACTGCAGTATACACAATATAATCACTGCAGTATACACAATATAATCACTGCAATATACACAATGTAATCAAAACAGTATACGCCTTATAATGAAAGCAGTACTAAATATTCATAATAATACAATACTTTTGCTGGTTGCATGTTTGATATTTTCCTCTTTATTCATATTTTATTTTACCGTCTGCCGCCGAAATGAATCTTCTTTACTATTTAAAATGTAAATTTAATATACTACAAAGAATTTACATACAAATAATACAAGCCCTTAATTATTACCAGATATTTTGTATTTTCGGGGAAAAACTAGATTTCTTGCCAAAGGTTAATGCGAGGACACCTGAACCCACTCATTAGAGCTTGGAAGTTGTGCATCCGATAATTAACGTAATAAATGTCATTGATGCAGTGCCAGTGGTGGAGAAAATGAGGCGAGAGGTTGCAGGGACGCCGGGTGGTATATCACTGCAATGAACTTTATAACTTTGCAATATTATCTGTGGAGTGGATGCGAGATGCATAATGTCTGAATATTTCTTGGGCGAACATTTGTTACCTGATTTCCCAAGCGACTTGATCATCCGACACCTTTGCGTCATTCACAAGCACTGCCTCGTCCACCACTACTAGCTCAACCACCACCACTGCCTCAACCGCCACCACTGCCTCACCTATCACCACTGCCTCAACCGCCACCATAGCATCAACCACCACCACTGCCTCACCCACCACCACTTCCTCACCCACCACCAGCTCCACCCATCATACACTGGATGACTCATCCGCCACTACCATGCCTCCATCAAACACAAACTTGTAATTCCTTAACGTGTTCTCGAGGAAGGTGGAGACGGGTATTAAGGATAATTATCCTCATTCGTTTCTCGTTTTCGCGGCTATTTTCTTCCCTCTAGCAGTCACACAAACAGAATAAATTTTCTAGCATGTTGATTTACCACGAAATCACGAATATTCATGAGCGCGATTTTGCAGTGATACCAGCAAGACAAACACTGCCGGACTCTTCATTTATTGCTGCTCCTCGCGAGCTGGAACACGCGAGTTTCAGATCTGAGGCCAGGAGAGAGTTGTTGTTGTTGTTAAAGATTCGCTACTTGGAACAAACAGTTCCAAGTAGCACGGGCTATGGTGAGCCCGTAGGTACTGGAGGAGAGAGTGCGAGCGAGGTTCTCTGTGTGTTAAGTCAGGAAAGAACAATAATAATAATAATACAATGCATCGTGGTCGTAGTGCTTACAGGAGAGAGAGAACTTTGGAAGTTCCATACAATGATTATACATGATGACGAAAGTTTGTCTTACAGTTCAGGAGAATGTTTATGAAACAATATTTCCTCCGCCAATGTAAGTCCAAGGAGTCATTCGTGCCGGATACCAGAGTGACACTTTTGAGTCACACAGAGTGACTCAGGACACTTTTTCAGAAATCTGTGAATGGCATCTGTAAGCATCTCGAGGCCAGTGTCCGCATGCGCTCCTGACCGCAACTCTAAGTTACGTACTTAGAACATGAAATGCTGAACGTCACATATCAACGGCATGAACGGAAGCATCTCTAACGAGCCCCGAGCTGCAACACGACAAAGAAAGGGAGATTAAACGAGCAAGGAATTGCAACATGAGAGATTGGAAGCGTTACAGAATAAGGCCGTGTGTCTCTGATTCAACTAAGGTACTTTCTAATGAATAACAATGTTCAAGATTTATCATAGAAGACCAATTGAATGCTACTAGGAAGCAAATTCATCAAACGATCCGTTCATCTCTCATCCACCTTGAATAGCAGGTTGAACAGCAACCTCGTTTCTTGCAGCGTCGGCGTTCGATTCCCGATAGTGTATTTGATTGAGTTCTGCCCCTTCATTTACCCCTTCCTCCTATCCTAGCTCATTTTCCCCTTTCTTCTTCTAGGTGATATACTGACCATACCGACAATGTACTTTCTCCGAATATATTACTTTATCTAACCTTTCTGGTTCAGCCTATGAGAGCAACTAGCTCTCTCTCTCTATCTTAGACGTAGAGAGTGAGTCTTATACTTTTGAAGAGAGTATATAGTGTTATTAACTAGTGCTTTTCGGTACATTTAGAAGGTGCATAGGGAATGTTACTTCGTCAATGAGACTGGCTTCCTATACATTTCAAAGCCTTGCTGTCCTAACTTTGCTTTATTTACCCTAACCATTCCTAACTTTATCTAAACTAAAGATATACACAGTTTTAACAATTAAAAGATGAGTTACGAACGACTCGCTTGTTTGCGATTTGACCGTACCCTATCGCTGATCACCGTACGAATCAATATATGTTCCAAACGACTAAACTGTCATGCTTTAAACCAACACACGAACCAATTTGTGCGTTGTAGCTGCGTGGGAGAGGCTGCTGCTTCGATAAACACGATCCCATTCGCGATGCACTTAGGACGCTTCTATTGAAAATTAATGAACCAAAAACCTCTAAAGTTCCTTGCGCTGAAGGCATAAGCTTGGGCTATGGGGCGAAGAGGAGCTACATGAGTTACACCTTGAAGGTAAACCAACATTGTGTACAAGGCCTTGCCCTTGGTTGAGAGCTATTTGAGGTATTCCTTCAGCCAGTCCTCTCGAGCTGTCACATAAATAATATATTAAATGGCCCGAACCAAACCTAACCGAGATCCCACGAAAAGAAAATGAGACATGACGTCAATTTAGCGACTCGTTTATAGTACATCACATTTTGGGTCGATGGGGATTTAGACGTCAAATGCGATGCACAATTCGAGAGGGCACGAATCGTCCACTCTTTTAGATTTTTAAGGACCTTTCATTGTTTGGTCCTCGTAAACAACGCCTCGAATATGACTGTATTAATGACCCACAGAAGCCTAAGTACAGGGTTTTCTGTAACCAAACTGACTACTTAACACCAGGTATAAAGTCATGGGAGTTAAGCTGAGAAAGACATGTGATGCGAAGAAAATCTATGAATACATTAAATACTGAGTAAAGATCTATTCCGTCGTGATCACTCGCTGTAGGAACACACACCACTGCACAGTAGCTGGGTAAATACAGAACTCACTGTACACAGTTATACACAGGATCTGAGTGTGTATAGCAGCCACTCGCTACACATGGCAGGACAGGAGCTGGGATGAATATAAAAGTCACTGTCTCTCTCGTAATTAACCATAAGTTATCGCTATGAATTGTGAACTAATTTAAATATGCAGACTGTAAGTCACAATTTAAATATGATCGTTTGCCAAATATAACTTCATGAAGTTAGGTTTTATATATTTTTATGTGTTGGTCTGTTCCGTTGAGTAGGTCTGTCCCCCTTCTGTAGATCTGTCCCGTTCGTACCTCGTGCGAAATCTAGAACTTCAGGATTTGCTAATTCGTAAGCCTTGTGAAATGTTTTGTGCTCGGTTTTCCTTTTCCATTGTCATTCTCCCGTGTT